TGCGCGCGCGCGCCGTCAGTCCACGCGCTCTGCCAGCCTCACCTGCATCTGCTTGTAGCCCTCCTGCTCTCTCTTCAGCGTGGTGTCCGCTTCATGCAGTCTCTCTTGGAGAGTCTGCAGAGCCTGGTTCTGGAGGCTGCTACCTTCAGTGTGGTCCTGCAGGATCCTAGAAGAAAACACACACATCTCGTGGAACGGGGCCTTTCTGCTCCTCCAGGTGCAAGGGGTGTTGGAGAATAATTCTCAGAACGCTGACGAGTTAGCATGAAAAAGACAGTTTGACTACAACATTCTTACAGTAATCGTTTTTCCTTTTTGAAGGGATGCAATCTGTATTTTAAAGAGTCCAGGAGGTACAGTGACAAGTCGTTTGTTCAAAAACCCACCAGCTGGTCTACAGAGAAAGATGAAAGATGCTTCCCTAAAGACTGTGGTTCAGATTACTGCTTGGCAACCACCCAGGGGCAGTTCCTGCTCTGTCCTGCAGGGTCACTGAACTGGAACTGACTCATTGGCAATACAGGTTTTTAATCTGTATTTTTAGCCATCAAAATATACACACACATCACACTTCTTTAGATACTGAAAGACTAATGACACCTACAATTTAAATACCACTATTAAATTCAGAAAGATTTGCTTCCAATGCATGTCAACGTCAAATAATTTGAACACTTTAATTACTGAAAATACATATGCAGCAAAACATACACCAATTCAACCACTTCTAAATGTACAATGCAGGGATCGTGAATGCACTCTTCAAGTTGAATGACCATCTTCATCCACCTTTTCCAAACCGTTCCTCCTGTGATCACATACACACGATGTTCCCTAAAGCTCCCTTCAACCTGCTCAAACCGATGTTGTCTGTCTGGTCCGCTATACGAGGGGGCTTCAGAAAGATCATTCATCTTCTCATTCATTTTTCCACCAACTTTGAAGCCTCCAACTATACAGTAGCCTGAATCATGTTTAATTGTACAAACATCCGACACTGCCTAAAGGTAAAACACGGACATTTCAGAGAGCTGAATTTTCTTAAGGCAGAATGATGACAATGTGTACCGTTACTGGTGCTGGAAAGAGACCGCTGCCCTAGCTCGTTCACCATTACTAAGGGGGTAACTACCGTGATTTTTCGCTCTGCAGGGCTTCTAGCACCTCCGTGCGGGTGCTCAGTAGCTGGTCAGCTTCTTGCAAGCGCACTTTCAGTACGGCCAGCTGGGAGTCTTTGGCGGCCACCGCTTCCGTCAGATCGTCAACTTGGGCTCGAAGCTCCCGAGTAACTCGATCGCTCTTTGAGTGGTCAGCATTCCACTTCTCAACTCTTGTTCTCGCTTTGTTTAATTCTGTAAAACAATGACGCGTCACGCCACAAGCAGCAAACACCTCTTTCCCAGAGCATGGACAGATCCTCCCGAGTCCCTTTAAAATGTCACCTATTGACAAAACTGAAAGAAAACAATCTAACTCATTGCCATCACCTGGCAGGACAGGGTAGCACTGGCCCTGTGGATTTTTGAGACCCTAACTCTTTCCACAAGTAGAAAGCCTCTCCCTTGACAAGGTTGGTGGTTTTGAACTGCTGACCTTGTGGTTAGCAGGCTGATATGGAACCACTATGCCACCAGAGCTTGTGACTGCCAAGATTACTCATTGCCATCAGGTCAATTCCAAATCACAGGGACCCTAGAGGGTAGGGCAGAAAGGCGTGAGTTCCCGAGACTGTCAATCTTTATGGGAGTAGAGCGCCTTCTCTCCCTGCTGCGGAGCGCCTGGTGGCTGCAAAGTACTAACCGTGCAGTTAGCAACCCCCACCCCCACCCCAGGGTGCGACGCTGACAGAGAGCGCACACTGACATTACAGGTCACATGTGGGAAAGGGCACGGAGCCCGCGGCTCTTTTACAAACACTGCTTTGCCTAGTGATGCGTCAGAGAGCTTGAAGTCCACGCTCGTGGACAGCCGGTGCTCACAGCACTGTGACGTGGGAGGGTCTGCTCGGCCCTGCTGTCAGCATCAAGATGAGCTGCTATCTCCACACCTGCTGCACACCGAATACAACGGCAGTGGGGCACCTTTTTATTTTCTTCAAATAAAGCATACTGTACAGGGTCTTGGGGAAAGCTCTGTTTCCACGTTTCCACATCTGAATCAACGTGGGTAGGTGAAGAGTCATTTCCTGTGGTTTTGCCAGTCTCATCAGTGTTAACCCCTCCCTGTCCCGCCTGTGTGGGCCTCTCTCCATGCCCAGGAAGCCCGTTCCTCTCACCAGAGGCAGGAATCAGGCGCGCTCGCCGGGTTTCTCCTCAGCCACACTGTGCGTTCACTCATTTCCCCACTGGAGCCCCCATTTCTGAGGACCTTCCTCAGGGCCACCTCGCCGTATACTCCAGAGGGCAGCTGAACCCCATGTCCCTGGAGCAGCACCAAGTGGGGACCCTGCAAACTAGTGCCACTACCTTCCTTCCTACTCCCACTTTTGGCTCCCGGGATGGCTCTCCTAAACAGGGTCAGAACTAAGGAGCCGGTGACAAATGCTTTGCTCCCTTCGGTGCTCTACGCCCGTGAAGAGTTACCCTCTCAGAAACCCACCGGGGCAGTTGTTCGCTGTCCTGCAGGGTCACTGTGAGTCGGTATCAACTTGATGGCATTTAGGTAGGTTTAAGGAGCGATCTCAAGGGGCAAGGCTGGCGAGCCTTTGTCTGTCTCACGTGTACGTCAGACAGGTTGTCAGGAGAGACCAGTCCCTGGAGAAGGCCATCATGCGTGGTGAAGTGGAGGGGCAGAGAAAAAGACCCTCGGCAAGATGGACCGACACGTGGCTGCACAATGGGCTCCTACACAACAATTGTCAGGATGGTGCAGGACTGGACAGTGTTTCACTCCGTGGGAGACGACCCCACAGCATCTACCAACAGTGAACGGCCACACAGCCACTGTTTCCACCGTTCGTGCTCGGGGAGAGGGGGACAGGGCCCGTTTCCAATCTAGGTCCAATAACCCTTCGGAAGCACCAACTCGTAAGTCTCACGGGGAAGTGTTCTTTCTAACTGTCTGCGTGCAAGGTGTGCAGTTACTGTTCGAAAGGCTGAATTCCTAACCATTTAAATAAGACCCACCTTCTTGAGTATCCTTGGATCTCTGGATCAAGGTGGCCATTTCTTGATTTAAAGACTGAACCTCATTCCTCAACAGCTGGTTCTCCAGCCGAAGGTTAGACAGCTCGTGTGATTTGCCATCCTCGTTAGCTGTTGGGGGGTGACCAGCGCAAGCGACGGCCGAGGCTGAGCTCTCCTTTGGAGAATCCTTTTGGCCTTCAGGGCCGGCGTCTTCAGTGTTAGAGGTTTCTGGGAGGGGAAGAATGTACATGTCACCCTGGCTCACTCCTCACCTACACATGAGCAGTGTACTATGGCAGGCTGCTCCGTGGCTCGAGCTGTCTGCTCCAGTCAAAACAGCATACAAAGTTCAGTTCCCAACCAACTTGCCTCCGATGAGATTTCGTCATTATAAATGGAAAGTGTGGACCTCTAAAAATCCCCCAAGTCAGGATACACTGAGTAAATGGTGATAGAGAATAGATAGAAGACAGTTCTGCTACACACACACATACACACAGATTTACAGTGTTTTAAAAAGAAAGAGCAGACTGTTGGACAGAGAAAACCAGAGACGCGTGAGCAGTTGGGTTCAGGTGAACATGGCAAGTCTTGAAGCTGCTCTTTTGAAAAAGAGGGTAGTCTCAACATCAGAAGTCGTGGAAGGCGAAGGAGGCCGGTTAGGAGTTTCAAAGCAGGGAGAGCAGATACAGGTCAGAGCAATGTTACACCCCAACTAGAACCTAAAATGCCTCACCCAAAGACAAAGATTCACTGACTCAGACTCATCTGATTTTTAGCTTGTGACTACAGAATGATACAAATGCAGGGCTTCCATTTAGCACATGCTAAATATGTGATAAAAAAAAAAGAAAACATTTGCAAATAGTAAAACTGGCTAAAACAATAACTATCTAGGTAACAGAAATGGTCAATAAACACCTGACAAAGTTCTCGACATCTTTGCTGATCAGGGAAGTGTAAATAGAAGCCACAAGGAGAGTCAATAGACATCAAGAAGAATGGATCAAATGAAGACGCCGCCGAGCGTTGGCGACTACCGGAGGAGCAACTGGAGCGCTCCACACGGATGCTGAGGAAGAAACGGTGTGAACGCCGCGGGAGCAGATGTCACAATTCCTCATGAAGTTAAACGTGCACCTACCCTCCGGCGAGTAACTCCCTCTCACATGTACCTGAGGCGCACACAAGCACATGTCCACGTACAGAACAGCTTTAGTCACAATAGCCCCAAAGTAGAAACAACTCCATTGTTCACAAAGGCAACCGCGGCAGATCCATAGAGTGGGAGACTGGGCAATTAAACACTCAAGACGGATGGACACGTGACACGGATGAAGCACCAACAAAGGCTGAACAAAGGAAGCAAGCAAGGTACGTTCACTCGCATGCGGAGTTTCAGAAAACTGGAAAACTAGGGGCAACTCAGGAACCATCTCAGGTGAAGGAAATGTTCTGTAGCATCAGAAATGTGACTTACACAGGCTACACAGGTAGGGCAGCGTGTCTGTCTAGTTAAGCACTTGCATTTCAACACAGATACGTAATTTACCTAAAAGAAAAAAGTTACCAAAATAACCAAAAAAGTGGGGTCGGGAATGTGTATAGAAGCTGATCCAAGGGACAACCAATGTTGAGGTGAAATAATGGAGGGTTCACTTTACTATTCAGCTTACTGGTAAAGGCTTGAAATATTCCATACAGGTTTTTGTTGTTTGTGTTTTGATTGCTGGGAGGTCACAAGTCACTGAGTCTTCAGGCGCGGGACATACTGGCAGGGGACATCCAGGTCACAGGTGTAACCGTGCACAAAGTCCTACTTGGATGAGTAGAGACCGGGGTCTTAAAAGCCTGTGAGTGGTCACCAAATTGGGGAGTGCAACTCTTGGTCTCCTCCAGTTAGCGGCAAAGATGAGCGAAGGAAATCAAAGACCATCAGTCTGAACAACAATGGACGTCACCAACGCCCGCTGTGACGCGACAACCGGGAGAACTGGAGGGCACCCAGACCGACCTCAGACGTCCAAAACGAGGCAGCCACAGCAGCAAGCCAACGCCCCGAGACCATGGCCATGGCCGCCCTCAAACGGGAACTGTGGCTCAACTCTCAGCCAAGCAGCAGACAAGTCCAGAAGGCAAGCCGGTACAGCAGCAGAGTACCAAGTCCTCCGCCCAACCCAGGGCAGTATTTGCCTGGGGGTCAGGCTTAGGAGGCAGAAAAAGAAATGGTAAACGCTGGGAGGAGTGGGAGAGAGCTGCTATATTGTGGGGACTGTAATCCGTATAAAGAAACAAAATGTGTATGAATTATTGAATGGGAAACCAATTTGCTCTGTAAGCTTGCATTCAAATCCCAATAACAAGTGAAAAAAGAATTAAGAAGGAGAAAAGTATAAATTCATTGCAAAAAGCTCTCAAGCGAAGCAAGCAAAAAAGGAAGAATAAGATCTGAAAGGATAAACAAATTATAAGGTATTCAGGGCTTACCCAAAGTTTTAAAAATACACTTTCTGCTCATTCAACAAGTATACTGTAAGGAAAAGAAAGGGGAGCTGGTCGACTCTACAGATTTAAAATAATGAAGCTACCTCAGCTGAACCCAATGGATGAATCTTATTCAGTTTCTCATTTAAACAAAATGTTCAAAAACCCCAAAGAGTATGTGTGTGAGTGAGTGAGTGAGTGAGAGAGAGAGAGAGAGAGAGAGAGAGAGTGAGATCAGAGCACTGACTTGCTATTAGGGAAATGTAACAGAATTGTGAATGGTTGTACTTAATGAATCTATCTTTTAGAGTAAGAGAATGGGAGATGTATAGATGAAACGATGGAACAGTAGTAGGATCTACTGCACAATAACTGTGGAGGGTAAAGGCAACAGGGAGGTAAGAGGTGAGAGGGAACAAGAAGGTATAGAGCACAGGTTCCCAAATTTATTTGGTCTGCCACCTCCTTTTCAGAAGAAAAATTTACTTCGCCTACCCCTGCCAATGAAAAACATTTACAACCCACAATCGACAGTCAAGTGGAGGCATCTGCTTTCGTAGCTCCCCTGGATCATTCTAGCACCTACAGGGGCGGTACAGCTGGTATAGATAAACGAAGAGTTGACCCAGCTGTTCATCACTGTAGCTGGGTAATATACAACACCAGAGGTCATCACACTTCTTTCGGTAAATTTGAAATTTCTGTAATAAAGATTTTAAAAAAAGAAGTAATACCCACATGTTGGATCTATCTAACGCTGAATTTAGAACAAAAAAATAGCCTCAGAATCTTTACACTATAGAAGATGAAAGGGAGAAAATTAATGAGTTATAGATCCATCTTATCAAGTTATAAAAAAGAAATCCAAACAAAAGAGCAGAAATCAACAATAGAAACCAGAGCTTTATGGGTAAAGGGCTATGTCAGACAGTGTAAGACATAACAAAATAATAATAATTTATAAATTATCAAGGGTTCGTGAGGGAAGGTGAGTGGGGAGGGAGGGGAAAAATGAGCTGATACTAAGGGCTCAAGTAGAAAGAAAATGCTTTGAGAATGATGATGTACAAATGTGCTCGACACAATAGATCGATGGATGGATTGTGATAAGAGTTGTACGAGCCCCCAATACCCCAATAAAATGTTTGTTTGTTTTTTTTAAAGAAACCAGAGCTTTAGAAAAATAGAAAAGCAATGTACATCACAGAGGATTCATAAAACCCAAACTGGTTTGCTGACGAGAGCGAAATTATAAACCATATTATGTTCATAAATGTTAAAATGTTTCTGATGCTGGGCCTATCACACTGTACACTTCAAATATGCACAGCTTACTGTATGTCACACCTCATGAATGCTATTTGTAAGAGCGGGCATTCAGCACATGGCCTGGGACAATGAAAGCCAATTGAGACTCTGGAGACCGGGTAACCCAGCTTTGCCTTCTGCTGGGTAGGTCTGAATGATTAACGTCTGCCTAAGTTTTACAGCCTGGACACTTTCATCTTTTTCTAGAAAACTAAAAAATTATAATTCCTGCAAATATATGTAGGAGGAGCCTCAGTGGCACAGTGGGTTAAGCGTTGGGCTGCTAACCACAATGTCGGCAGTTCAAAACCATGAGCCGTTCGTGGGAGAAAGATGAGGCTATCTAAAGATTTACAGCCGTCTCAGAAACCCACATCGGTACTCTGTCTTACAGGGTCCCTATGAGTCTGAAGAGACTCACTGGGAGTGAGAAATGTATATGAAATAGACAAATTCTTAAGAAAAAAAAAAGTTACAACTCACCCAAAATGGACTGAAGAAGAAATAGAAAGCCAGCGGAATCAATGGTGACAATCTCTTATTTAAGAATACCCTTGACCTCTTCACAGCAAATTCTAGCAAACATTCAGGGAGCACATAACCCCAATTTTAACTCAACTAACTGAGAGCAGAAAATTGGGCCCACTCCCAACAATACTATAAAGCTAGCATAAATGTGATGCTAAACCCTAACCATCTTAATAGTTAATTTCATTAATGGTATACATGCAAAAGCCTTTACAGAATTTTGGCAATGAGTTTGGTTTTGTGTGTGAGGGAAAAAAAATCAGTTGTTCTGACATACCATATTGAGATATTAAATAAGAAAGATTATATAATCATCTCAACAGATACAAAAGAAACATTTAAAATTCAACATCATAAAATCGATTTGAATGCGATACAGGCTTTCCAAGACTAAGTGTTTATGGCGCAGACTTTCTCTGCTGGCCTCCTTCCTCATTTCCATTGCTTTTCCTGTCCTAGAGTTCTCGGAACTTTCTCACAACTGTTCTTCCTCTCTGCCTTTAAAGGGTCTGCTCAAATACCCATTTATAAACTATCAAGGGCTCATGAGGGAGCGGGGAGCGGGGAGGGAGGGGAAAAATGAGGACCTAATGTCGGGGGTTTAAATGGAGAGAAAATGTTTTAAGAATGATGTACAAATGCGCTTTACACAACTGATGTGTGTATGGATTGGGATAACAGTTGTATGAGCCCCTAATAAAATGTTAAAAAAAAAAAGGGTCTGCTCTCTCAGAATCAGAATGTTCTGCAGCGCGCTCCTTTTTCACCTGGCAACTTCCTGCTCATCGCAAGGCCCGGCTCAAGTCACACGACTTCTGACTACCTGGGGCCATCAAGTATTTCCCTCGGGCTCCCGAGTCTCTGGTCACGCCTTCCAGGCTACAGACAGAACACTACGTGATTCCTGTTGACATGTCTGTCTCACACTAGACCTCAACTCCTTCACCTCTCTCTCGTGGCTCTGGGCAGTTTCGGAAATGTTTGCATGTTAAGACAGCTGGGATGAAAACCTAGGCCTGTGCATAAAAAGGAGCCCTAGTGGTGCTATGGGTTGGGCAATAGGCTACTAGCCTCAAGGTTGACGGTTCAAAGGCACCAGCTGTTCCACAGGAAAAAGCTGAGGCGTTCTGCACCTGTAGCAGCCCTGGTGCTGTAGTGGTTACACAATGGGCTGCGATCCGCATGTTCGAAACCACCAGCAGCTCCTCAGGAGAAAGACTGGGCTTTCTACTCCCATAAGCAGTTTATAGTCTCGGAAACCCTCGGGAGGTTGCCATGAGTCAGCAGTGACGTGATGGCAGTGAGTTTGTCTTTTTAGTTTTCTGCAACTGTAAAGACTTATAGTCTTGGGATCCCGATACTGGCTCTCTCGGAGTTGAAATCGACTCCATGGCAGGGGGGTTCCCGAGGTTAAGTTCTCAGTTGCTAACTCAAAAGTCGGGGATCTGAATCCACTAAGCACGCTGCAGGAAAATGACCACAGACACCCTCAGGGGCAGGTCCCCTTTGTCCCCCATGGTCACTGGGTCAGAAAGGCCTCAAATGCAATAAGTTTGGTTTGGATCTTGCAAGATGACTTTTTTTCCTCCTGAACCAACAAGTCAAACCAGGGAAAGAAGCTACATTTAATCTGTTCAACTACACACGGAATCCTTGCACAAACCTATGATGTCTGCTATTTTTAAGTGCATTTTAGGTAGTTGGGTTAATGAGTTATATTATAGTGTCTACCCATTTCTGCACGAGAAGATCCACTTAGAGGTCAATTCCCTGGGAACTAATAACCCAACAACTCTAAACTTACTTACTTCACAAGACAAAGCCTTCAAGAAGGATGATTATTTATTTTTAATATAGGAACAGAATCTAAAGCTAGTTCATCTCTCGGCGTTAGTGAATTACCACCACTGACACAGACACTGACACACACACACACCAACAGAACTCAATATATGTGAATACAGCTGCCTGTCCTTTTTATATCCCAGTGTAAAAGAAATGAATTAAGACTGACCAAGGTCCAAAACTATTATACAAACATGCTTTCTTTCAGAATTCAAAAGCTCATTTTTGCATGTTAAACGCAAGACTCTAAAGAATCAATTTTGACCAAATTTCTCAGATGCTGGGATGGGTAAAGGGCCAGACCAAACCACTCCAGGCCAGGGTCCCAGACAGCTGCAGACTGACCACTGGTGCTCAGTGCCATTTCCACTGGCACCACCTCGGCAGAGAGCCTGCCCCCAGACCAGCCAGGGCGGATGCTGGGACAGGGGAGGAGAAGCGCCACCAGGAAGCTTCCGGGCTATGAGGGCCCCATCTACTGGCTCAGGGCTAAAGGAAACGGGTGGGCGGAGTACCATGGCTTTGGCTCCCCGGAGAACATTCCTCGGGAGCAGCGGGGGTGATGGTGGCGGTGGCGGCGGCAGCGGCAGCTACACTGGTGCCCGCAGAGCTGGCACTGTCTGTCTGAGAGTTCTGAGCAGGCACCTGGGCCCTCTCTTTTCTGATGTCCACCTTGCCGGAGGGCTCCTTCTGTGAACTGTTAAGAAAATCAAACAGCAGCTCATCATCAGGCTCTGACTTTTTTCTTCGGACAAACTGGGACGAAGGCCTGGGCTGGGGCACATTTTCGGTAGCAGAGGAGGCCTCCACTGGTGTCCGGAGGCCTGCCTTCATGTTCGCGGTGCCAGCCAAGAGGGTGGCCTGGTGATTTCGAATGCTCTCAGCTGCCGAGGAAATGTACGCGGCTTTTGTCCCGGGCAGCGAGTGAAGCTCTGGACCATCAACGCGCCTGTCGTAGACACTGTGGCTGGGGTTTTCTCTCCGACTAAGCGCCGTCGCAGCGCCCTGGTCAACTCGGTTGAGAAGATCTTCTGCCTTCCCGGCAAGGTCAGTAAACCAAGACATGATGGGGGCAGAAAGCAGCTTGCTGAAGAGCCTGTAAACAGGACACAGAATCGTCAGTGAGGATGAAAGCAGAGCTCAGTGGTTAAGAACCAGTTTCGGCAGCCGCCAGATTGTCGTACGTTGAAATCCTAGCCATGTTCCTTACTAGCTCTGTAACCCAGAGGGACTTCTAGGGGAAGCTGGGAACCAGGGGGACTCCACCTGGAGGGCCGTTCTGAAGGGGAATGGGCACAGAACGAGTCCTTTGCAAAATGCCTGGCGCAGAGTAAGCACTTAGTTCAGTAGCCACATCATTCACAGGGTCTTGGTGGCACCACGGTTAAAGCACTTGACTGCTACTAGAAAGGCCAGCCGCTCAGTGGAAGAGAGATGTGGGAGTCTGCTTCTGCTTCGGAAACCCTGTGGAACAGTTTCTTGTCCTCCAGGGTCACTGAGCCGGAATTGACTGAACCCCAGTTGGCAGTGGGGTTTACTGGACCATAGTCCATCTGAGTAATGATGAAAGAATTAACTTGGTCTCATGAAACAGAGGAGCATGTGCTCTTATACACTGCTCCTTGTGCCAGGAAAAATATTTCTGGTTCCTGGTCTTCACTTGAATGTCCCCTGCTTCAAGGACCTTTCTGATCTGCTCCTGCTTTCTCTTCCCTCACGGCACTTCACGTCTATGCGGCTGTTTCATGCTGTGGAGTTGACTTTTGCCTTGCAGCAACCTCAAACGACTACACCTCGAGGAGAAGAGCCCCGCGGGGTTTTCTAAGCTGTAATCCTTATGGGCCCAGACTGCCAGGCCTTTCTAGCATGGAACCACACAGTGGGTTCAAACCACCCACCTTCCCATTAGCAGCTGAGAGGTGTGCTACCAGGCTGTTAAGTATCTCTTTTTAAACACCTCTCTCTCCTTGTTGTGAGGAGGGGCTCAAGGCCCCATCTGTGTGCTTTACACAGCAAAGAATTCCTAGCAAAGGGGCCCGTAGCGTAGGCCTAGCACACCAAACCCAGGGTCAGTGAGTTGATTCTGACTCACAGTGACCTTACAGAGGGTTTCCGAGGCCAGACATCTTTGCAGGAGCAGACAGGCGCATCTTTCTGCGGCAGAACCTTGCAGTTTAGTAGGCCACCGCTGCTTACCTGATGACACCCCCATAAACTGTGCCCGATGCTGTGTAAACATTGCAGGCACTGTTGACAACCACCTATATCGAGATTCACAGCCTCTGAAGCCCACGGGGACAGCTCTACCCTGTCCTACAGGGTAGCGATGAGCCGGAATAGCCATTTCCATTGTGAGGATGGTGCCAGACTGGGCAATGTGCACAGGGTCACTGTGAGTCGGAACCCATGGATGGCACCCAACAAGGACGGGAGTCTAAGCTGACTCAAGGGCAACTTGTGTTAAACAGCAAGATCTTTTCACAAATGCATAAGGGTTTAGGGACCAAGAGTTTAGGTGCCAGTGTTGTAAGTTAGTTAGTTAAACTCCTCAAAGCTAATTTTAACCCCCGTCTCCCACAACTAGCCTTTCACTATGTGAGTAACTTCAGGCAACTTATCCTGTAAACCTCCCACAGGAGCCATGGGGTGGTGCAAAGGTTGCCGTGCTAGGGTTTATCTACTTCCAGAAAACCAGCGATGGAATACCCTACTCCGAAACACGGGCTCACCTTCCATCGGATTCAACCAGAGGCAACTGGTTTGTTTTGGTTTTTGGAACCCTATTACAGAGCGGGAGTGTTAGCTCTGAGCGTCTCAAATGAAAACAGATGGGAACGCTCTGTACCCCATGAAAACAACCCCCGGAGGGGGTAAAGGATTACTCCCGAGTAAGCAGCAATGGTGGCTGGGTGCAAATTGTCCTAATAAAGCGATCAAAACACGTTTATTAAATCCTTATATCTTGCCTCCCATAAAGTTAATAACAGGGCTATAACACGAAAGTTAAGGAACGCAGGGGCCCTGGGCACCAGGAGGAAGGACTGGGGCGGCCTTCGGCCATGCAAAACCCTCCGGTCCCACCACGGACACTGCAGACGTGGGTGGGAGAAGTGGGGGACCACCACACGGGGGGCGGGGCAGGCCAAGGCCTGCATGGAAAGCCAGCTGTCAGCACGGGGAAGGGAGGCTGGGGGTCGTGGGGCAGGCCCACGCAATCCATGTCAGGCCCCCCACTCCACTCTCCACCCACCTCCGTCCAGGCTCGGCCGGGGGTGTGTGTGTGAAGAAAGGGCGTGAGAGGGAGCAGGGGGCTTCCCGTCCCTGCCTCAGCCCCTAAGGGAGGGCGGCCCGGAGGGAGGTGGAGGCACCGGAGTCCCTCCGGAGGGGACGGCGCCCCCGCGCTCGAGGCCGTTAACGCCCCCAGGCGAGCCTGCCTGGCCCACTGACCCTCGCCGCCGCCTCACCTGGGGAGTCTGGAGCGGCTGCACCGAGGCCGCGCCGCCCTCCTGCGCCGCCCCCGTCAGCAGCCGGCTGAGGGCCCAGCAGGCCCAGCTGAGCGTCCCCTTCGTCCAGCCCCGGCCCGGCCACCTCTTCCGGGAGACGTGGAAGGGCGGCGAGGACCCCAAAACAGAGTGCCTGCCGACCTGCCTGAGCGGCGGGAGGAGAGCAGCCACCTGCAGGCGGCTCAGGCGGCAGCTGCGGGGGCCTCGCTCCTGGCCACGCCCCTTCCGCCTGCGGCGGGCCCGGCCCCGAGCGCGCCGGGCTGCGTATGACGTCATTGCGGAAGCGGACCTCCACGTGGCCGGCATAACAGTGGAGGCCACGCCCGTGGGCGTGTCCTCCGTGGCGGCCCACTTGGGGGGCAGGCAGGCCGCAGTGCTTGGAAAGTTCCGGCCGGCGTCAGGCAAGTAGTGACTCCCGGCTACACTGACTTTCGTCTTGTTCGCAGTGCGCGGAGGCCGACCGCAGGAGATGAGAACACCAAACGGCTCACAGCCACGGAGTTGATCTTGACTCATACATAGCTCCCACTGCCACCGGTCAATTCGGATCCATGGCCACCCCATAGGGCAGGGGAGAATGCCCCCGTGGGTTTCCCAGACTAACTCTTTGTAGGAGCAGAGCCCTCCTCTTTCTCTGTGGCGCCGCGGGTGGTTTCAAACTGCTGACCTGTTGTTAGCAGCTCAGCCACGCACCAGGGTTCCCTTACTCATTGCTACTCTCAACCTTCCTAACGCCGCGACCCTTTAAGACAGTTTCTCATGTAGTGGTGACCCCCAACCATAAAATTATTTCCCTTGCTACTTCAAAAATAATTTTGCTACTGTTATGAATCGTAATGTAAATGCCTGATATGCAGGATGTGTTTTCATTGTTACAAATTGAACATCATTAAAGCATAATGATTAATCACAAAAATAATGTGTAATCATATATTGTGAAATATTTATTTCAAATGACAAATAAATGAAATTTTGTCTGGAACCATCGTGTAGCCTGGGTAACAGTCTTAATATAATAACAGTAAACTATATTGCTGCATTTTGCAACAGTATGCATAAAAAGCCAACATCAGCATGGAAGGTTGAGATAGCTTCTTTCCCACCAGATCAACATGTCTGCATGTAGGCAGACCTGCCTGGAGATAGAGGAGGGTGTCTCAGTTCCTAAGACCTTGGGAAATTGTGTTTTCCGATGGCCTTAGGCGACGCCTGTGAAAGGGTCGTTAAACCCCTGTGCGACTCACAGGTTGAGAACCGCTGCTCTGGTATGATCACCTTGATTTCCTGTCCTTTAAAGGCATCCTGACGGCGCAGTGGTTCAGTGCTGGGCTGCAAATTGAAAGGCTGGGACCTCACCTACTGATCCTTGGAGAAAGCGAGGGCGCTCAGTTTCCACCATATTGTGCAGCCTTGCACACCCAGGGAGGCAGTTTGGCTTTGCCTATGGGTTCAGAAAGAATTAGTATCCGTGTCAAGGCAACAGGTATACTTTCTAGTGGCAATGTTCATAAACTCACTGCCATCTATTCATTGCCGGCTCATAGCAAACCTGTAGTCCAGGGTAGAACCGCCTCTTTGAGTCTTTGAGATTGTAACTGATTATGGGAGTAGAAAGTCCTTTCTCCTGCACAGTGGCTGGTGGTTTTGAACTGCAGACCTTGTGAGTCACAGCCCAATGAGTAACCATGAAGCCATCAGGGCCATGCCCAAAATGTTAAGCGTACAACTACTAAAGACTAACCAGTGAATGGCGGTTTAAACTCGGCCAGAGGTGCTTCAGAAGAAAGGCCTGGCTTCAGCAAGGTTTCAGTCCTGACATCTAAAGATGCAGTGTTCCGTTTGGCACAGCAAATGGGTCTCTATGAGTCAGAAGCAACTAACTGCAACCAGAGCTGTCAGGCAGGAAATTGAGGAGGTGTGGGTGAAGGCGTGAGGTGTTTTACACCCACTAGTCATGGACGAGCTCACCAAGGAGGGACATTTGAACTGAGACACCCCCCACCCCACCCCCCACCCCACCCCCCAAGGATGGGAAAGGCCAGTTGAGAGCTTTCCAGACAGTAGTGCAGTGATTGCCTTTTGAAGACAATTCCCTGACTAATTGAAATTAGCCTAAAATCCACATTCATAATTCAATAAATATTTGAACTAACACAATTAGATGAGCTGACAGAAGCTGTAACAATGGGCTCAAAATCATACCAAATGTGGATGGAGGGGGGTGTGCAGTGGAGACCCAAAGCCCATCTGTAGACAATTGGCCATCCCCTCACAGAGGGGTCACAAGGAAGAGATGAGCAAGTCAGGGTGCAGTATAGCACCGATGAAACACACAACTTTCCTCTAGTTCTTTAATGCATCCTTCCCCAACTATCATGACCTCACTTCTACCTTTCAAATCAGATTAAACCAGAACATGTACACTGCTACAGATAAGAGCCTGAAACACAGGGAATTCAGGATAGATAGACCCCTCAGGGCCAACAATGAGAATAGAGATATCAGGAGGGTTAGGGGAAGGTGTGGGGAGAAAGGGGGAAATGGTCACAAGGATCGACATATAATTCCCTCCCAGAGGGATGAGCAACAGAAAAGTAGGTGAAGGGCGACAGGGGATGATGTAAGATATGAAAATAATAATCTATAATTTATCAAGGGGTCATGAGGGAAGGTGGATGGGGAGGGAGGGGGAAAATGAGCTGCTATCAAGCCCTCAAGTAGAAAGAAAATGCTTTGAAAATGATGCTGGCAGCATACGTGCAAATGTGCTTGACACAATGGATGAATGTGTGGATTGTGATAAGACATGTAAGAGCCACCAATAAAAGTATTTAATAAAACAAATACACAAACAATGGGCTCAAACAGCAATTGTGAGGATGGTGTAAGACTGGGCAGAGTTTCCTTCGGTTATACATAACACCATAGCTGGCGTGAAGCCCGCATTAAACTTCAAAATGACATCTTTTCTTTGCAACACTTTAGAGAGGCCTTGTGAAATAGATTTGCCCAACACGATAAGCAGGTCGTTTGATTTCTTGACGGCTGCTTTCATGGGCATCGATTGTTGATCCAAGTAAAACAGAATCCTTGACAACTGACCCGTCCAGCAGGTCATCAAACAACGTGGATACCTGAAAAAGGGACTGGGAATGAAGAAGGGCAAGAGACGCGAGAAATGGAGGCAAGACAGGAGTCTGATCAAGCCTCGATTTATTGAGCAGAAGGCAGAGGCCTAAATACCCACTGGTGGGCGGGTAACATTACATCATATGCTAATAAAGTGTAACAGGTAGTATCCAATAATCACGCAGCTACCAAATATGGAAGAAATGGCAGGCATCAGTCCTCAAACAGGTCCGCATGTAAATGAGGTACACTTGGATGGTCCACATGCAAATGAGGTGCACTTGGATGCCTGGCGGAGGTGTCCAATGAGCATGGCGGCTGCCTGCCACCGAGCACCAATCATCACAAAGGCCAAACTCAGGCAGGACAATAGGCCAGGGAACATCCGAGAATGGGAAGCTTAAAGACAGCGGACGCGCAGGCCATGGGCTGAGGGACGTGCAGACTCCCACATGTGCAGACTCCCACATGTGCAGACTCCCACATGTGCAGACTCCCACAGACAACTTCAATCTTCTCTCCTTATCAGGATGTTACTTAATTCATAATCCTTAATTCATAATCCGGTTGTGGGGATTTTTTGCGTAAAGAAATGTGAAGGTGTAATCTGCAATGAAAGCTGTCTCTTTGATCTTCATCAGAGAATGCTTCGAGCTCTTTTTGCTTTGAAAAAAACAAGGTTGTTCGTGAGTCCTCGGCCAATCCTGATGCTGGTGTCTAGGCCAGCTTCTTGGACTATTTGCTCAGCACCCTGGAGGAATAAAGCCTGGGTAAGGCTGCCACCCTTTCAAGTACCCCCTTGTTGTTTAAACTACGGCCTCTTGGTTTGGGTAGAGAGGCTTCTGGTGAGCACAATTAAGTGTTCTCAAACTCCCAGTCTTTGCAATGTTCTCGGTAATTTGTTATGCTCCACGCCGTCAGATGCTTTGGCATAGCCAGTCAAACACAAGTGCCCACTCTTCTAGTATGCTCTGCTGGTATTCTCACCTACAAGACCTCCGCCAGGGGGCGTGTTCTCCCCAGTGTCGCTGGTGTCGGGTTTGACCGTGTGACTGGCGTTGGCCAATGGAACGTGAGCAGAAGAGCTGTGTGTATTTCCTCCAGATCCCGTGGTGTTTGCTGTATGTCGTCCAGGTCGGGGTTGTTCCAGAGAAAGTCCTCTCACCCACTGAAAGAATGAGGGTCAAATTAGTTGAAGCAGAAAAGATGTGGCACTGAGCAGCCATGCCCCCAAAAGTGTCCCCAAGAATTCTTATCTGTACAAAAGCATCCACTTGGGACACCCAGAAGGCACTGAGGTCAAACCGGGTTAGTCTGGGAGACAGGACACCCAACAGGAGAGGCTGCAATTTTTCTCGGTAAGTAAGACTCTTTGTACCCTCTACCCCGCCGCCCTAATGCTGAGAGGAGCGAACCCCTAGAAAAGAAAGGGGGTGACTGGGATCCCTGCCTTCCCTACACACCTGTCCCAGGGGCCAGACTGTGGAACAGATCCTAAGAATGTGAGCCTTTTTGCGCATGATTACCTTCCAGCAGATGGGGGCGCTCCTTCCTTAAAATACATTCCGGGCAGTCTCCTGGGCCGCAAGTTAAAAGGCATCCTGCTGTTTCCTTGTTAGCATCACAGTGGATAGAGCGTCAATGACTGTGAACTGGCGCTGGCGATCCACGGGGATTTCATGTTCACCTCCTGTGTCGCGTTTTTCGTCACCTGGCTGTGAAGTTGCGTTCCAAGACCACTAACCCCTTGATGAAACCTTCAGGTCCTCATCCCTATCCGCATCGTTAACTTGTTTTTGCCCCTTCTGAGAGGCTCCTAACTGCTCCAGGGCCCCAGGTTGGCACCTCTACAGACGAAGGCCTGACAAACTGTAGGATGACATCAAGAAGCAAAAGGGTCGTTGAAAAGAGAGGAAAGAAAGAAAAGATCAGAGCGGATGTCAGAGAAGC